ACTATCCCTACTCTGCAGTTTTTCACTTATCGCGGGGGGTTGGGAACAGAACCTCTGAGTTAAATCAGGGACTACTGTATATGATTTTTATCCAACTGAGTTTTTAAATCTGGAGATGTGACTGATTTACTCATGTCCATCTGAAACTAGTTTCTACTAGATCCCATCTGAATCCTCAGGCTGAGACATGATAGAGATAAATGACTAAATGGAAGCTCAGCAGAGGTGTCTAGAGATAGCAGAATAAAACTCACCGATTTCCATTTTCACCTCAAACCTGCCGGGCCTCATCAGGGCGTCATCGATCAGGTCGGGCCTGTTGGTCATGCCTACAATTCAAGAGGGAGAAGAATATGCAGTGGTTCATAGGACACAGAGGCAAACTGATCATCACTAAAGACATAAAATTATTTGTCAACATAACAACAGAGGTAAACAAAGTGAATGACAACCCTAAAAGATGAGCAACAAACATCTCTGTATCATTACGCAAAGTTTTTAAAAGAAGCTGAAGGTTACCAAGTGAGGTCGGTGAGGCCTCCATTCATTTATATGCTGATGACACAGTTTTATATGATTCTGCTTCTACTCTGGATGAGGTTGTGAAGTCCCTTCATGTGGTTTTCTTGTAATCCAGCAGGCCTTTTCTGACTTAAATTTGTTCTTAAATGCCAAGAAAACAAAAATGATATGGTTCGGTCATGGAGAAGGGACCATACCCACCTTTGTGGACTTAACAACTGTAAATGGTGACATTGTAGAAGAGGTAACAGTTTATAAATACTTTGGAATTTGGATTGATGGTGCTCTGTCCTTTTCACATTATGTTAATGTTTTACAATCTAAGGTCAAAGTGAGACTTGGTTATCTATATAGAAATCAATCTTCCTTGACACTGGCTGCAAAATGCACCATTGTTGAAAAAAAAAAAAAATCATTCTACCTCTTTTGGATTATGGAGACATAATTTACAGACATGCTTGTAAAGGTGTCCTTCGTAAGCTGGACACAATTTATCACTCTGCCACTGCTTTTGTTACAGATGTTCCTTATAGGACACATCACTGTCTCCTCTACTCTCTGGTTAAATGTCCTTCTACTCGTCATGAAATTCATTAGTTTATCATCATTTATAAAACGTTGCAAGTCATTCACCTCCATATTTAACTAATCTACTGCGACTAGCACCGGTGTGGAAGTAGGACACCTGATCCTCTCAGTATTTGTGGTGAACTCTAAAGAGCAAGTGTGTCTCTGCTGCTCCGTCCGACTGGAACCTGCTTCAACAAACTTTGGCTCTGACCTCACTTGTCTCAGTTTCTAGTTTTAAAAATAGTTTAAAAGCCGTTTTTAAAGATACTTGCAAATGTTTTCATGATTAGTACTGTGGTTGAACTTTGACAACGAACTGTTAATGTAATTTGTGTTTCCTTGTTTGTTAAAGACTTCTATATTTCATGGTTCTGTCTTACTTTCCTTGACCCTACAAGGACCAGTTGGTGCTGCCACCAGCTCTGTACAGAAGAATTTGTTCTTAGTGTTTATACCTGTTTAATTAAAGGTGAAATGAAAAATTAAAAAAAGTAGAGCATCTGCTATTGGCCACCACTGCTACCTGACTTTAGCCTACAAAGATGGTATGTCTGACATAGAAAAGGTATTTACAATTTAAAAACTTTCTTTAGGCCATAAATGTAACTGTATTTATACTGATAGTTGAATTTTCTTTAAGTGAGGTTTTGTTGAAAAGTTATGACGTATTATTATCTTATGACTGCAGTTTGGAAGAACTAAGATGAATGTGGACCTGGCTGACGAGCTAACAGTCTGAACACGGTCAAGAAGAGTCAAGAAGTGAGTTGATGCCATCTTGAAACAGCCTTACATTGTCATTCCACATACAGAGCCAGAATAACATTTAGTCTGAAAAATAAACATAAAAAAACAACATGTCATCATCATGCCCAGCCACATTTTGTGTTGTCGATATGGGGAGTTGAACCGGTGACTTTCTCTAGCCTCTGTGCCACCACTCCCCTCATACAATAGTGTTCATATGAATCATTATAAAATGTTGGTCTTGGCCCCACTCTGACTAGCCATTAGCTCTTCAATTTAAGACCTTTAAGTATATTATATTTTCTGTAAAAATTGCAGGGTGTGAATCCTTTTTTCTCCTCTGTCGAGGGGTTCATCAGGGCTCAATTTTTGGGCCTTTGCTTTTTTCTTTATATCTACTTCGTCTAGGATCGATATTTAGAAAACACAGCATCTCCTTTCACTGCTACGCTGATCATTGCCAAATCTATGTGCCTTTAAGGCGAGCTGATGCTTGGTCCTTTAAACCTCTTTATCGTGTTTCGAGGATCTTAAAGTGTGGATGGCCCTAAACTTCCTGCATTTTAATGAAAAAAAGACAGAGGTGCTTGTTTTTGGACCTAGTGGAGCTTGTTCGAGCCCTCCAAACCCCCTGACAATGTACGTAAAGTCCACAGTTACAAACCTTGGTTTTAAGATGGACAGTAATTTTAAACTCGACAGTCAAGTCTGGTTTTTATCATTTAAGAAAAATAGCAAAGGTAAATTCTATTCTTTCAAGGTGACAGTTGGAAACAGTAATCCATGCTTTCATTTCATCACGGCTGGACTATTGTAATTCTCTCGATCTCGGAGTCAGCCAGTCCTCACTGACACGTCTGCAGCTGGTGCAAAATGCTGCTGCACGTCTTTTAACAGGAACACGTAAAAAAGAGCACATCACACCTGTCCTGGCTTCTCTCCACTGGCTGCCCGTGTATTTTAGAGTTCATTATGAAATTATTTAGTTTGTTTTTAAGGTTGTAAACAGCCTTGCCTCGTCTTAGTTAACAGAGCTTCTCCACCACTAAACTCCCCCTCAGTCACTCAGGTCCTCTGACCAGCTGCTTCTGGTCATTCCCAAGAGTAGGAGGAAACTCCGAGTAGACAGGACCTTCTCTGTTAGTGCCCCGAAGTTATGGAACGCTCTGCCTTCACACGTTCGACAGGCTCCTTCACTGTCCATGTTGAAAACTGTCTGAAAACTCATTTCTATTCATCGGCCTTCAACCCAACTGAGACTTGATTTTACTTCATTTTTATAGATTTTATCTGTCTAACTCGTCGTTTTATTGTGTTTTCAACTGAGTTTTTAAATTTTTGTGTGCTTGGCTTTGTAACTTTATTTTTATGCTTTCTTTGATCTCATTTATTACTGATGTTCAGCACTTTGTTTCAGCTGTGGCTGCTGTTAAAGCGCTTTATAAATAAAGTTGTTGATGATGATGATATTCCTCTGACATTAGCCTGCTCAAAGAGTTATTTACAACAACAAAAATGATCATCTACGTTGATCCTCTGTTCAACTTGACACATGCTGGATCCAGCACTCGGTACAAACCTCAGACAGTTTATAGATCTGCAGCTCATTCTTCATGGTCAAAGTGAGTAAAATATAAAGTCAAGGTGATTTGGGCCCGCAGGTTTTATCCTTACCGATGACCAGGATGTTGTTTAGCTGCTCCACACCGTCGATCTTAGACAGGAGCTGGTTGACCACAGTGTCGTGCACACCAGTGCTGCTGGCGCCCGTGCCTCTCTGCTTGCAGATGGCATCCAGCTCATCAAAGATGATGATGTGGAGCCCACTGTTGGCTCCCAGCTAAAATAAAAATAAAATAAAATTTACTCCTGGTATTTGACCCGTTGAACACACGTGGCAGAAAGGTGCCCTACCCTCTTCTGCTCCTCCTCTGCCTCCGCGAACAGTTTGCGGATGTTAGCTTCTGACTCTCCCACATACTTGTTGAGGATCTCGGGACCATTGACAACCTTTGGCTCGCGAGCGTTGAGCATCTTGCCAATCTGCCTGGCCATCAGTGTTTTACCACATCCTGGAGGTCCGAACAGCATGATGCCCTTCACGTGCTTACAGCCTGGAACAACGACAGGAAGACATGAAAACTGACAGAAGGAAAGAAGACTGTGACAGTGGAGATGCAGGTCAGGAGGAAAAACAAGAATGAACCAAAAGAGGAAACACTGGAACGACAAAATGATTATATATATATATATATATATAAAGTTGGCCAAGGGTTTTATCTCTTCTTCTTTTCATGAACTGTACTAAAATAAACTGTAGCAAACTTTGTCTTCTTTTAACTTTATTTAAAAAATACACACAGCACAATCAAACTTTCATATGGTCATTACAGCCGTGGTAAAGTTAAACAAGAACAAATGTGTTATCAAGAGAAGGTGCAGGATGACACGCAGACACTGAGCATTTAGATGAATCAAAACGAGGATTACTTTATTGAGTTAATGTGTCATGTTTTAAAAATCTTACGGAATATATCCTGATGCTGCTCAATAATCAGGTAGATGAATGAAAGGTTGAGCCAGGTCCTCTGGACGGGTTCTTTCTTGAAACGTTTCGTCTTTTATCCATTCATTAATTCATTCTTCAGTTTTTAATATGTGCACAAGATGTCCTTTTATGATTTCAAAATGTATATTTGTTTTAATTGATAATGGTTCATTTCACCTGTTTTCTCCCTCCAGCATCTGAGCTTAAAAATGTATCTTTAATGAACTCTGAGACGTGTTTGATGGCTAACACCGAACACAGAGAATGTTTATGAAGCATTCACTCTGTGATCCATTTTTATAGTCAAACAGTCATAATCCCCGTGTTCTAATACCGTAAATTCCATTTTAAACGTGCCTCGGTCTGCCAGCATGGAGGCCTCTGTTGACATCTGCAACAACTTTACCAGATACTTTGCTGATAAGGTAGAGTTGATTAGGTCATCCATCCCCCAGTCCACTACTGACCCCTCTGTCTTTGTCCCTTCCTCAGCTGTCTTCAAACAGTTTGAACCCATTTCACTCCTATTTCTGAACAAAGTTGTTGGTCAGATGAAACCCTCCGGTTCCCCCACTGACCCCATTCCTGCGTCGTTTTTCAAACAAGTTCTACCCACGATTGGACCCTCTGTTCTTACTATTATAAATAGTAGTATTGTGACAAGTGTGGTTCCCGATGTTTTCAAACGTGCAGTAGTTCATCCGTTAATTAAGAAACCTGGACTTGACCCTTCGACTTGCTCAAATTTCAGACCAATCTCAAAACTTCCCTTCCTGTCCAAAATCCTGGAGAAAAAAGTTTTCATTCAATTAAACAAGTTTTTGAATGAGAACAGAATCTTTGAGACTTTTCAACCTGGTTTTAAGCAACTCCACAGAACTGAAACATGGTGAAGCATTAGTAAGGGTTTGTAACGACATTATGATCTCAAACGATTCTGGTCAATTTGTGGTACTTGTGCTCCTGGCCCTTACTGCTGCTTTTGATACTGTTGACCACAGTATCCTTATATCACGGCTGGAACAGTGGGTTGGGATCACAGGTGCTGCATTAGAATGGTTCCGCTCATACCTGAGTGGCAGGAGTTTCTGTGTCAAGGTTGGTAATAATGTATCTGCCTCATTACCTCTTTCTTGTGGGGTCCCACAGGGTTCGATTCTTGGACCCCTTCTGTTCTCACTTTATTTGCTCCCACTGGGGTCCATCCTGAGGAAACATGGTCTTTCATTCCATTGCTATACTGATGACTGCCAGATCTACCTGCCTGTGAAACCAGCAAGTGTTTGCTCCATTCACCCGCTGTTAAAATGTCTGGACGACATTAAGGCCTGGATGGCTTCAAATTTCTTAAATTTTAACAATGACAAGACTGAAGTCATTGTTTTTAGCCCTAGCTCAACTGCCACCTCTGATCCTGTCAAACTGGACTCTCTTAAGCCATATCTGAAGCAGTCTGGTAAAAATATCGGGATGGTTTAGACTCTGACTTCAAGTTTGACAAACAAATCAACTCTATTCTGCAGAAAAGCTTCTTCCAACTCAGACAGGTAGCTAAGCTCAAGCCAGTATTTACCAGACCCGACCTTGAGAAACTAGTCCACGCCTTTGTCATGACCCGATTGGACTATTGCAATACACTCTATGCTGGGATCAGCCAGGCCTCCATTTCTCGTCTTCAGCTCGTCCAGAATGCTGCTGCTCAGCTTTTAACCAGAACTCGTAGGTCTGAACATATTACTCCAGTTCTGTCCTCCCTTCACTGGCTCCCTGTTCGTACGAGGATAGTCTTTAAAATTCTTCTGTTGACCTTCAAATGCTTAAATGGCCTCGCACTTATTATTATTAGTTTATAGGTTTTTTTCTCTTTAATTTTACTCTCATTGATTGTTGTTGTTAAGCACTTTGATAACAGGTTTTGTTTTAAATGTGCTCTATAAATAAAGTTGACTTGACTTTTATTCCATACGTTTCTTGGTGCGATCCTCATCCCACAGTTTTTGTGCTATTTCAGCAAATCATAAATCAAAATGTTCAGCTGTTTCTGGATAATCCTTTGATGTTGTTGCAACTTTAGCTTTTTGAAATATTTAGCATTTTCTGCCATTTTTTTCTCACGGAAAATGAACTGAGCTCATTTTACATCCTTCATATCTTTAGATCTGTTTACAACCTTTTACTGCTCCTTTCACATTTTGTTCTGGTTCAGCTATTTTCAGCTGTTTTTTCAGCTGTTTTGTGCTTCTTACATATTCTTTCTGCTAACTACAACTTTTTTGTGCTTCTTCTAACTCTGCTGATTTCAGATTGTTATGCTTATTTCAGCTTATTTCTGCAAGTTTCAGCTTTTTCTGCTATTTCAGCTTCTAGCTGTTTTATGCTAATTTTACCCCCTTTTTGTAGCTAATTCCATGTTTTTCTACTCATTTAAATTTTTTCAGCTTAACTGGGGTTCTCTCTACTTTCCCGGGGCGGCTGTGGCTGAGTGGTTAGAGCAGTCGTCCTGAAATGCAAGAGTTGGGGGTTCGAATCCACCAGCAGTCACATGTCAAAGTGTCCCTGGGCAAGACACTGAACCCCTCATTGACTCCGATGTGTCCCATCAGTGTATGAATGTGATCTAAAGCTCTGATTAGTCTCTTTAGAATGATTGACACAGATTGTAGTGTAAAGAGCTTTGAGTATCTCAATAAGATAGAAAGGTGCTTTATAAGTACAGTCCATTTACTATTTCTGGCAATTTAAGCTTCTTTCTGCCTTTTTAGCTACTTTTCAGCTGTTTTTTTTCTCTCTTACTAATTTCTGCTTTTTTCAGATAGTTTCCACTTTTTGTGCTCATTTTGCTTCTTTCAGCCAAATTGGGCAAACGTGTTATTTCTGTTTATTTAGACTTGTTCTACATTTTCAACTAACTTTTTATTTATTTATTTTTTAGCATTTTAGGCTAGTTTTAGCTGTTTTCAGATAATTCCATTTTTTTGTGGTAATTTCGGCTACTTCAAGTCTAATTAACTTCTTTCTGCTATTTTCGTTTCAGCTTATTTCTGCAAGTTTTTAGCTAATTTCAGCTGCTTTTCAGCAAGGTCTTCAACAATAAGCATTCACACATATTCACAGGAAATGCAGTTTTTCTTTTCTGCTTTTTCAGCTACTATTTAGCTGTTTATGCTAATTTTAGCTTTCCCAACTACAGTAGTCCCTCGCTACTTTGTGGCTCATTTATCGCAGATTCACTCTATCGCGGTTTTTCAAAATCTTTACAAAGTCTTTACAAAGTCTTTACAAAGTCTTTACAAAGGTAGATTTGTTTTGTCTTAAAAGTACAGACAACGTTTGGTCATCTTTGGGTTAAGAAGGTTAGTTTAAAAAATGCCAACATTTCTGTACTTAAATTAAAACATCAGTAATCTTTGTTCTGATGTGCATCAGAGAAATGTGCCTTTTCTTTCTTTGGTCAGTTAATCTAAAGACGACCCTACGGGGTTTAAGTCCGTATAAAACAGTCTGTATAAATCTCCTTGGTGTCTCTTGCATCTCTTTCCTGTTTAAAAAACAAAACAGGCAGCATCAGACAGCTTCTTTCTCTGACAGCCAAGAGAGGAAAAGTTTCTTCATCTTAACTTTATGGGGCTTAATTTTTTTTTGGTGACTGAACTGTTTAATGAACAGATCTTTTTACAAAGTATATATTTATGACGCCTTTTTGATAAATAATTCAGATGAACTTTGTTGTTTTTGTAGCTGCTCAAGCTACTATGGTGCAAACCAGACAGAATCTGTCTCCATCTTCATCTGTGAGAATCCATTTCACGATTCCCTCCATCTGAGAAAATCACCTCCGGGTGATTTTAACTCCTGGGACATTGATGATTGGGCCACCATGAGCCCTGAGGTACAAAGAACCCAACCTATTCCTGCAGCTGTTCCAAGGCACTGGTGTCAGAAGCATTTGTAATGTGGGGGAGACACACTGGTGGGGGGGCTCTGGGTGTCCTCCCACAGAAAATTTTGAATAAAGTAGATGCCAGTTCCTCCGTTCTGGTGTATTTTAATGGGATGCTAAACATCTATGTTTACCTACATAAGTAAACACTTGATTCAATAAATATTTTAGAGTAGCCTGGCCAACACCCCCCACCACCCCAGTCAACAAATGTCGGCATTAATGTAGCGCTAAGCTAGCATGAAACACAGAGGTGTGTCCAATTTCTCCCCCTGACTCATCAACAGAATACCACCACCCCCCCCCACCCCCACCCCACCCCCCACCCCACCCCCGAGACGAGCGCCCTGCCAAAGCAAGTGACCCCAGAGGAAACACTGCATGGTGAGTTGTTGTTGGTGACCAGGAAAACCCGGAGTGGACTTTAAATGTTTTGAGTATTCTCCTATTAGTCAAGTGTAATGGGATTCATAAAGGAATAGAAACAAACTGGGTGAACTAATCTTTCATGGTAAATGTGTGTGTGTGTGGGGGGGATGTCCAAATTAATATTTTTTTTAATATGTGTGTGTGTGTATGGGGGGGGGGCACATTCCCTTCACATAAAATTGTTGCGATGACTAAACTCCCTCATGTGTCTACAGGAGTTATAAGCACAAACAACAGTCTGAGACCGTCATCCTCAGGGATGTGTGTTGAGCCCCCTCCTGTTTACTCTGCTCACGTATGACTGTGCAGCTACCCATCCAGGCTGTCACATTGTAAAGTTTGCAGATGATACAGCGGTGGTGGGATGCATCACAAACAATGATGAGTCCAGCTACAGACAAAGGTGGAACACCTGGAGAGCTGGTGCAAAGAGAATAACCTTCACATCAATGTGAAGAAGACAAAGGAGATGATTGTGGACTTCAGAAGGAACAAAAACACCTACACCCCCCTGAACATAAGAGGATCTGCAGTGGAAGTGGTCTCCAGCTACAAGTACTTGGGTGTGCACCTGAACAACAACCTCAGCTGGAGCAACAACACCACCAGCCTGATCAAGAAAACTCATCAGAGACTCTACTTCCTCAGGCGGCTGAGAAGAGCTGGTCTGGAAGCTCAGTCCTCACCTCCTTCTACAGGTGTGCAGTGGAGAGCATCCTGTGCTCCAGCATCAACATGTGGCATGGAGGCTGCACAGCTGCAGAAAGAAAAGCTTTACAGAGAGTGGTGAAGGCTGCACAGAAGATGTTGGAGTCAGTCTCCCCACCATCACAGACATCTACACCTGCAGATGCAGGGAGAGAGCCACCTGCATCATGAAGGACCCCACTCACCCAGCACACACTTTATGCCCTGATCCCCTCAGGAAGGAGGTTGAGGAGCATTAAGTGTAGAACCACTAGACTGAGGAACAGCTTCTACCCTGAGGCTGTTAGACTCGTGAATCTCTAACCAGAATAATCACTGCAATGCCACTTTACTTATGTGACTTTATCTGTGCTGCTGATTTCTTACCCATCTGCTCACAACAGACTCATGTTCAGGCTGTTGTTTAATACATCGTATTATATTATATTATATTATATTATATTATATTATATTATATTATATTATATTATATTATATTATTGTTTAGTGTATATCTTAGCTCCTTGTATTCTCTTTATTTTTCTATTTATACTTTATATATATTGCTTTTTTGAGTGTAACTGGGAATTTGAGTACACAATTTCATTCCACCTCATGTACCGCATGTGATGCAAATGACGATAAAGTCTCCTTCAAATTTGAAAATGGCAACTTTATTTTAAACTCAGAAACTACAAGCTCCGAATTAAAATAAATTTGTTTTCCTAAATTTATGTTTTCTTCTTAGTGATGCTAATACTAACCCTTGTCTTTCATGTCTCAGCCTGTTTTCTCCTCATCTGGCTCCAGTGGTTGGGCAGCGTGATGGCATAGTGGTTAGCACCGTTGCCTCACAGCGAGAAGGTCCTGGGTTCAATCCTACGTTTTGACGTGGGGTCTTTCTGTGTGGAGTTTGCATGATCTCCTTGTGTTGTTAGGTTTTCTGTGGTTTCCTGCCACAGTTTGCCTGCAGGCCCAGGCCTTGTCTGGCTCAGTGGGACTGGCCGGACTAAATAAAGGTTAATAATAAATTAATTGTCTACTGAAAATCTTTGCTTTTCAGTTTTTTACTGAGTGGCCACCTGACAACTGATCGTGTTCACTCTGTAGTCTGATATGTTGGTATGACACTAATGTGGGCAAAAAGCCATAAAAAGTGAACAGATGATGACATTTCTCACCCATCTGCTCCACAATGTCTGGAGGGAAAACTCGAGAAGCAAAGGCTCTGCGGAAAATGTCGGAGAACTCCTTGTCCAGACCTCCAATTCCCATTTTCTCAAAGTTCCAGTCTGGGTTGATGATTGTCTGCCGGGCCTCCTTGGTCTTTGCCTTTCCTGTTTAAATTAAAAAAGTGTTGTAAAAAAAGAAGTTATTTTGTTTGTGTTCATATCTGATGAGTTTTTAAAAGCCAAAGAGAATGAAGTAATTTGGTGAATGGAAAGTTTAAAATCTAAGTTTGTCTTTCAGGTTTTCATAAATGTGTCAAATTCATAGAAATGTGTAGAAATCTGTTTCTGCTGCCATCCTGTGGGACAAATGGACATGAGCACACTAAGAGATGACATGTTGGTTATATTGAAGCCAGTGTTGATAACTGAACTATTGAAACTCTTTAAACAAGACAGTTAAAATAAATTACAGGAATTTCTTGTAGAAAGTTCAGGTGTCTGATAAAGGACAAAACAAGCGTACCGACTAATGTGAGAGAGGAATTCTCCGCCTTTTCAAAGATCACCTGGCTGTTTCCCACCATCAGACCAACGTCAATCTGTCAAAACATAAATAAATACTTTTTAAAAACAGATTAAAAAATGGGCAGAAAAGCGTCAAGTCCAAAATTGTAATCCAAGTCTTGGTTTTCTTTACTCCAGAGTTTTTAAATGAATATTTCACTGTTTTTATAAAAATCTGTATAAAACATTTTCACAAAATGATGAAGCATGAACGTCATGTCACTGAGACGTGAGAAGATCAACTTTAAAGATCTCAAAATACTGAGAAAGATTATTCTTAGCATATGAATCTCCTGAAAACCACAGGAACTGTGTAACCCTTACATACGTATGTACAGTATATAGACACTTTATGTGTATATATATATGGTGTATATATACTGTACATATAAATATACTGTATACAGTATACAAAAAAATCAAAACAAAATTCAGTGTCTCAAAGTCAAATGTATGGTTTCAAACAATTTTTATTTTGTAATATTCCATCCATCCATCCATCCATCCATCCATCCATCCATCCATCCATCCATTATCTTTACCCGCTTTTTCCTTTTTGGGTCACTGGTGCCCATATCCAGCAATCACTGTGCGAGTGGTGGGACAACCTGGACAGGTCTCCAGTTCATCACAGGGTCAATTTTGTAATATTATTTATGAAAAAATATTATAATTGATTTAAAGATGTGTTAACAAATAAATGTTGTGTACTATGCGTAATAAATCACTTCCGTTTTATTATTGTGAAATTGTAATAACTATTTAGAAAACACACACACACACACACACACACACACACACACCCACCATGACTCGACTGTAATGATTTGTGTTGTATTTTAATGTTTCCAGCTCACTCTCTGGAGTTTAATTACTGAGAACTAATGTTGTTGCTCAGAACAATCAGGGAACTCTCTCAGGCGGCAGAACTGCATCACGATGAGGCTTCGATCAAAAATTCATCAGAATCAGACACTTCCAGCGTCACAATACACAGATTCTAGTTTTCTCCTTTTCTCGCCAACAGAAAGCTGAAAGTTAAAAAAAAACTGGATCACATCAACACAACCTAACGTCCATCACCTTTTCCTGTTGTGGTTTGGATGTTTAGTCTCTCTAGAGGAACAGGTACCTTTTGCTGTTTCTTTCCAGAAGCTGGATCACCTTTGAGGATGCTGGCGTCCATGGCCTCAACGTCCTTCACCACCAAACCAAACAGCTTGTCGCAGAAACTGAACACCAACTGAACGACAGCGACAAGAGAGTGGATTCAAAACGAACTGCAACATCATGAAACCAAGTGTTTCTGTCTGAGGTTTGATGCTTGGAGGCTGGCGAGTATCAACCTGCTGGGTGACAGAGAAGGCCTGGTTGTTGAACTGCTGGATGAACTCAGACGCCATCTTGTCCGAGTCGTACGGAGAGGAGTCGGTGCTCTTCTTTTGCAGGAAGTCAATTTCGATTGTCATGGCGCCGATGCACTGCTTGGACTTGTCAAAGTTGTAGTTGGCCACTGATTTGACAGACAAACAATTATATGTCACATCAACATGTTTTCACAATGACCATCAATTAAAATAAAATAAAAGATGAGAAAACAACAGTAAAATAACTAGAAAGTTCCTGGAGAAACTTTGACAGGGACTGGCACATTGCAACCATTAAAAAAAATGATTTGGCAGTACTTTGTGCTGTGGTTTGCTCTCAGCTACCACCACACCAAATTTCAGCTCAATAAGGAAAAAATAAAAATCAGTGAGTATTAATCATTTATTTTTTAAGCTTTGGTAGCCATCTTGCATGTTTAGACTTGAATTCAGAATGTGTTGTGAATTGTTGTCAGGTACCATACCTAATATCACGCTATATCTTTTAAAATATCTGTGTTGTAGTATAAAGCTGCGTTGTAGTATAGACCACAACACCATCTAGATTAGCACATTTGTAGTGGACTAGGCCTACGTCGAAACTAAGTCTAAGGTCAAAACTCTTGACCTTAAGAACCTTGTGGGACAGAAGCTGTCATTTCATGTATTTGAATCCATAAATACAGGTTCACCCATCCTGAGACTTTCTTTCTTGAAGATTCAAGTGAAAAGAACACTCTCTTTTTATTATCATTACTATCTTACAAATGTTGATAATCAAAGTGTCTTAGTTCAAACCATTTTAGATGTTGCAGTGAACTAATCAATTTTATTAACTGAGTAATGATTTTTATTCTCATGTTAAAAGCTGTTGCAGAGTAATTATGCATTTTTCTGATTTCTGCTTTTGAATGAGCAAGTGTGTGCGTTTACAAGGTTACAGTCAAACGAAAAACAAGTTGTTATGTTAAAACTGTCATGTTTTAGAATCCTCTCAGACGTAAGTAGAGATGTTTTGCACCTGTTTCCTGAAACACGCCAAAACAAAACCCTCTCGGTCTGTGAGAACATTTCTGAGCTGTCTCATAACAATTCTCGCTGTCTCTAACCTCTTACGTCACAAAACCCACCCCGTCTGGTCGTTTCTGACCAATGAAAAATCCCAAAAAGTGAACCGGGAAAGAGTCTTTAAAATGTCAGTACTTCCTGGTCTACACAGAGTTGGAGAGTTGTCAGACTTCTAGAGTTCTGGAGTTCTGAAGTTGCTGGAGTGCTGGAGAGTTTTCTGCTGGTTCTGTTCGAGTTCTGTCGGAGACGGGATGATCTTGACATGACAAAAGGCTCTTCCGAGTTCCATGGGATTATAACTTTCACTAGCCACTACTTCTGACGAGCTACAGCCACCATCAGGAGACGCTGGACAGGTAGCGTTAACGGAATTCCATATCTGCTGATAAATCTTCAGAAAGGTAATGGATCAAGTTTCCTACCAAGCGTACCGAAGGAGAGCTGGGCTTCTGATGGAGAGTGTCGGTTCTGGTGAACATTCCTCCCCTCCCATTCAATCTTACTCCCTTTAACTTCTTTCATCTTTAACTTTCTATCAAGTAGAAATTCTCCCAGATATTTAGAAATGTCTGTGTAAAGTGCTTATTCACATCCGTGTGGGTAAAAGATCATAGTTGTACAGTTTTATAAATGTCTGTGGTGCAGCAACGGAAAAATCATGGCCGTATGATTTTTCCTGATTGATTGCTTTGTTGTTATTTTCATAATTTGCCAAATTAATGTACATGTTTGATGTTAAATTTGATTCTGTAAATAAATGACCGCATTCATTTTGATGGGTCAAATCTAAATGACGTCTCACGTTTGCATTTCCTTAAATTCAATGCACGTTTTATTCAGTCCAGAAAAATGAGGAACCCGCGTTAAATGATGAATATATCCCAGCATCTGTTCATCTACACATTGTAGATGGTGGCCATCTTGCATTCTTGATTTACATTAGGAATGTATAACTAGATTTGTCGTGATAAACAATAAATCAATTAATCTCATGATAAATGAAAATGATCAACCTCGTTTTCATTTATCGGCTTTATCGTTTCTTCGTGTGTCTCTCTCGTTCTACTGAAGACACGGCTCAACTCTGGTGTGCTTCACTGATCCCCTCCCTTTCTCTTTTCTCATAAAATTTGTTTTAACCGTCCAAAATTGTGTTTTTGGACGGTTAAAAGCAGCTAAGCTGAAAAGCTAAGCTACGAGCTATGTAAGCTAACAGGCTGACCTGAGGAAAAAAAAACTCTGTCTTGTCGAAGCTCCAAAATTCAGGGTTGAAACCCGTGCCTTTGTGTAAAAAGTTGTTTTTCTCTGCAAAAAGAAGCTGAGAACTTGTTTATAGATTTTTTTTTTTAATTAAAAGCGTTATGTGAAAAATGCTATGCTAAAGAGCTCAAACCACACCGAGCATTCATCATTTTGAGATCCGACAAAAAGGAAGGAGAGACCGCCCATGTCACATCAAGGGGCCTCCCTCCCATATTTCTTAAAGAGACATGCTGCTCGCTCCCTCACTATCCATCCTTTGATTCAAACATTCTTATACTGTCATCGGGTGGTCAAAAAAGGAACTACACTCTAAACAAATTAACCAACATTTCTTCTTAAATTTGACAATAATGACTAATTATTGTCAAATTTCAAACAATATATCATTTATTGCAATAATTTCTGAGACAATTAATCGCCCAGCAAAATTTGTTATTGTGACAGGCCTATGTATAACAACTTGCTCTCAGCTACAATCAAACCAAATTTCAGCTCAATATCTCAAAGAATGTCTGAGTTATAGTCAATTTTGTATTTTCTAATGTAGCTGTGGCAGCCATCTTGAACCAAAACGGCTCCAAACAGGGCTGGAGTGGGACTCATTTTCAGCCCTGGAGTTTCAGCCTCAGAGTGGCCCACTTTAGATCACGACCTATTATTATTGAAATCATGTAATTATAAGCTTACATCAGGGGCAATTCTAGAATCTGCCCTTTGGGGGCGCTTTTAGCCCCCAGTGCTGACAATGGCTCTTGGCTTGAACAATGTCAGAATTGGAGTCAGAAGCTTGTACTTTGGGGGAGGTGAGCACACTGGCTGGGGGTCCTCCCCCAGAAAATTTTGAATAAAGTAGATGCCATTTCCTGCATTCTGGTGAATTTTAATGGGCTGTTTAACATTTAGTTTTGCCTACATACTGTAAGTAACACTTGATTCAATATCTATTATAGAGTTAATGGCACAACAAGAAGTAGCCTGACCAACAGCTCTCCTTGTGTGAATAGAGTACACTCCACTTTTCTCATGTACCCTAGTCACAGTCTAAGAAACATACCGTAGTGTAGCCTAAGTTAACTTTTAGGAAGAAAAATCACTAGCCAATATGAAACAATAACAGTAATCACTCCTTCTTACCAATGGCCTAACATAAAGCAATATGATCATCATCCATCATGTTTATTAGCAGCTTAAAATACCTAATTAAAACTCCAGTAATGGGCTAGGTCTACTGTAGCCTTACCCAGTTGTAGGGTCAAGAGACAAACATGTAGCATTAACACAGTATGAACAACATTCAGGAATTGTTTCTATGAGAACATTATCAAATATACATGAAGAGTATAAGATCGCTTCGCCTATGAGGAAATGTAACACAGGTTGAGCGAACCTCGGACAAACTAACAAACAAGATACCTGTAATGGTGGAGGTAGTGAAGCTCATGGTGTTACCTGAAGCATTTAGTGAGGCATTTCTGTCTTATCGACCAAAATTAAGGCAAAAAAGAAACAAAAAAGCTACTAATAACTTAAAATAGTTACTGCAGTAGATGTTTTCATTCCACAGAGCGACACAGGGTAAGAACTCACAATGAAAGTCAATATGTAAGAATGTAAATTTTACACACACAATCTATTAAACACTTTGTACAAAATCAGTTTAGTTTTAACAAAGACTAAACTTATGCAACCAGGTTACCACATATATCTACATATAAAACACACAAAAAGCACAACTAGCTTTAAGCACCTCTCTCAACCATCTGGAGAAGGTAAACACCTATGTGAGAATGCTCTTCATTGACTACAGCTCAGCATTCAATATCATAATATAATCCCCTCCAAGCTGGTTTCCAAGCTCACCACACAGGGCCTGGAGAAGTCCATCTACTGCTGGATACTGGACTTCCTCACCAACAAACCACAGGCAGTGAAAATTGGCAGTCACCTCTCCTCCACACTAGTCCTCAGCACCGGTACACTTCAAGGCTGTGTCCTTAGTCCACTCTTGTACCCTTTATTTACATGAGTGTACCTCCAAGCATAGGTCTAACATCATCCTCAAGTATGCTGATGACACCACCATTTTGGGCCTTATCACCAACAACAATGAGAGTGTCTACAGAGATGAGGTGAAATCACTGACCAGCTGATGTCAGGAAAATTCCTTAGAGAATTTTACTAATTGACTTTTTTATGGAGCCTCCATAGGTTTATCGGTTCTAGAGATACAGCTGATGACTACTTTGGGGAGTTTAAAAAAAAAATCCAGCAAGATGTTCATGAGCTGTGGCAGTTAGAAGCTGTGAAGAGTTCTGTCAGGATTTTTCAATGAGAAAAATGGCTTATTTGTTTGCAAATTATGTTGCCATGATAACCCAATCTATCCATCCATCATCTTTATCCACTTCTTCCTTTTCAGATCACGGGGGTCAGTGGTGCCCATATCCAGCAGTCATTGTGCAAGAGGCGGGGGACACCCTAGACAGGTCTCCAGTTCATCAAAGGGACACATAGAGACAAAGGAGACAAACAACCATTCACTCTCTCACTCACACCTAGAGACAATTTAGCCTAACTTGAATTCCAGGTTATCCAGAATTCCTAATTACTCATGTTAACTTGAAATGCCAATAAATGTAATAGCACATATCACTGTACTGAGCCGGTCATTTTGATATAATACTTGTGGGGGTGCACATTGAGTGTATGAGGGTATGTGCTTGTAGGTACACTTCTCACAAATGTATTTTCAAGGCCCATACAGAAATGCAGCAACGGGTGGTGTGGAATTCACTGGAGTAGGTTATAGATTAGTAGTCCTGATCACAGTTTTGAAAAGCTGACGCACTGCATCAAATTCCCAATACAGTTCATCTATGATTCCCTCCCCAGCACAATCAAGTTTTTCTCCTGGGGTCTAGACTAAGGTCTGGTGTTTCTGCTGTGCTATGAAAGAAGATCCTCAGAGTGTACATTGAGCGGCTGCTCAATTATCCTGGAAAAAGTCCATTATTGCTGGTGTTATAACCAAATACTGAAGACAGTACCAGACACCATCCACTCTTATTATTACGTATTCTACTCCATTGAGATTGTCTGCCATGGATCTGTGGACCAGTCATTTTCCAGAGCCCTGAAATTGTTGGGGACTGTGCTGGAAATGATGGTGTGCCACTCACCCATGTACTACACAAATAAACTGCATGAACTGAAGGATTCAGTGAATGAATCTTTTGAACAAATCCTTTTAATGAACTGATTCTAGGGATTCAGTACACTCAAAAGAACTGCCATTCCCATCACTACAAGATGATAAATAGTAAAGTATCATATTACATTCCATACCATTTTCATTTGTTTGTAAAAAACATAAAATACAAAACAAATCAATTTTTTTAATCAAACAATGTATGTTCCCTGAGCTGTTCAGTGATATTGTTGGTTAGCACTGTTGCCTCACGGCAAGAAGGTGGTGAGTTCAGCCATGGCTTGGAGCCTTTCTACAGGAAGTATTCATGCCCTCCCTGGATTCCTCCCACAGTATGTTAGCTTAACGGGCAACTTTAAATTGTAAATAACAACTGAGTAAAGTAGATGCATGGATGGATAGATTTCACCATCAAAATGTGTTAAAGTCATAACCATTCAGTGTTTCCCCTAAGTCAATTCCACTGGCATGGCGCTCATGTCTTTGTGGACTTTTGTCGATGGGGGGTGAGGGGGTAGGGTTAGCACGTTGCTAGTGTAGCACTACATCAGTGCCAGCAGTTGTTGACATGTGGGGGGAGTTGTGGGTGAAGGACAATTTCAGTAGGCGGGGCTCTTGGTTCTGTTGTCAGGGCGGGGCGCCCTCCTTGGATAACGGTAAGGGAAGCACCATTGTAATGTCTTGTCTGGTGTATCATAACGTATAAAAGTCAGTTTTCCCTAACAATAGTTGAAACATAAACATTGTAACCATGTTACCATCTTGGTAAATACTTTTACAAAAGATACACAAGCAAATTAATGTCTCATATGATTACTGAAGAGGACTTTTGGAAGGACCATCCTATAGCGCTGTGAAGCACTTTAATGACTACTTATTGCTTCTTATTTAAGGCTAAGAGGTAGGAAAAAAGTAACTCTAAGAAATGAGTTGGACCTATAGCCTGAGGTGGTAACTAAACATTATGAACAGTCAAACACAGTCATTGTTTGCAGTGTAAATGTCAAATAGAAGAACTTTTACCTTCAACCTCCTGGCCAATGGAAAGGCCAGCCCATTTTCTCTAAACGAGAGAAATAAAAAGAAAAGTAAAGATATGTCCACCAATGTGTACATGTGTGTGTGTTTGCGTGTGCCAGATGTACCTGTGGCAGGCTGAAGGCGATGGTTCCAGCAGCTACAGTGTGATGGGTCTTGACAGTAAACACATACTTGTGGTTTGGCGTGGTCTTCACCGTCACATGTCTGCAGGTCAAATATCCTCTTTACTACATGTTCAGGCATTTGTTTAGAGCTGACAATGACAGCAGGTGAAGGACAGACATTGGCAGCATAACAAATGTTTTTAGCCACTGCACAAACTAGAAAAATAAAAAAAGTGCAAATACGATCTACAATTCCAGCATCAGCATTCTTCTTTAAGGCCCAATAGTGATTTGGGACGTATATTTAGAATTTATACTTTTGTCGGCCTCTCCCTTCTTCAAGGGTCACCACAGTGAACTAACTCGCACGAAGACTTGGTGATTATTTTTATGCAGGATGCTCTTCAGACCATTGAGCTACCACAGCCCTCTGTGTGGAGCAGAGAGCTGCCATCTAGGGCACCCATGGGAGCAGATGGTGGGGGTTAAGGGCCTTGCTCAAGGGCCCAGAGTGGGGTAAATGAGGGTGGAGGATGTTTCCCATCCACATTTTCATGTTGTTGGTCTGGGGAGTTGAACAGCGACTTTCCGATCTCAGGCCCACCTTCTCTAACCTCTGCACCACCACTCCCCCCACCTTTGATTTATAATAATGTAAACTGACTAAATGCATGTGTTTTGATGTATAAATGTGTAAGAAGTGGCCAGAGAATCAAACTTCATAGAGACGTTACAGCTGCTGGCAGTGAGTGGTTGTCCTGTTTGATGACGTCTTGTACAGATGGGGTGCTGGTGCTGACAAACAGCAACAATGGCAACTTACTGTCCTGACTGCAGATCTTTCTCGTTCACGACAGCACAGTTTGTCAGCGACAGCTCGTCTGTCGGGCATCGCGCCGCCTGCATGCTCTGCAAAGGCAAAGATGGAGAAGGTGGAGGGAAAAAAAAACACATTTTATTACTGGTTTATTATTATGGTCCAGCTGAAAAATTATACTCTTGTGTGCCATTCAACATTTTTACTAAGCATGAACTTCCAGTTTGTCTAATATAAAAATCAAAAGTAAATCTACTTCAGACTTTTTAAGTAAACTCACAATGTCCATGGTTCAGAATATTTCACTGCTGAGCTCAACAGAATATTGGTTTTTTTTTTTTTAGTAACCTGCATCGCCCTGGAATAAACCATCACTCACGTTCACCTGGTGTCTAAAACTAGAGTTCAATTAGTTTGTTTTGCAACATTTGTGCAAACATTTCACAGTTCACGCTCCTCATTTACAATCAGAGAAAAAGAAAGTGTTGTGTCTGCAGCAAACTGAAGTGAAGAGTTTTCTTGGCTCTCAGCCTGGAAACAAAAAATGATTCATCACTGAATGCATCAGAAAATGAGTCAAGAATGACCACAGGCAACCTTTTAGCATCACCAAAAGAAGCGATAATGCAGACATATAATTTAATTAATGGTTTTATGAGTCATGTTTTCAACGAGAAGGAAGGACAGCAACAAAATGGTTTTAATATTTGAAATAAATATTAATAATAATATAGCTTAAATTGAGCTTATAGGACAAAAGCTTATAAAGCGCCACCAGGAAGCAGAGGGAGTCCAGTTCAGTGGCCTCAGGATTCCATCTCTGCTCTTTGCAGATGATGTGGTCCTGTTGGCTGGATGGATGATGGATGGATGATGGATGGATGAAGGATGGATGGATGGATGGATGATGGATGGATTCCATCTCTGCTCTTTGCAGATGATGTGGTCCTGTTGGCGTCATCATGCCTGATCTTCAGCTCTCACTGGAGCGGTTCACAGCTGAATGTGAAGTGGCTGGGATGAGAATCAGCACCTCCAGATCTGAGGCCATGGTCCTCAGTTGGAAAAGTGTGGATTACTCTCTTCGGGTTGAGGGTGAGGTTCTGCCTCAAGTGGAGGAGTTCAAGTATCTCAGGGTTTTGCTTATGAGTGAGGGAAGAATGGAGCATGAGACTGACAGACGGGTTGGTGGAGTATCTGCAGTATTATGGACTCTGTGCCGGTCCGTTGTGGTGAAGACAGAGCTGAGCTGTAAGACAAAGCTCTCTGTTTACTGGTCGGTCTATGTTCCTACCCTCAACTATGGTCATGAACTCTGGGTAGTGACCAAAAGAATGAGATCATGGATACAGAAGGTTGAAATGAGTTTCCTCTGCAGGGTAGTTGGACTCTCCCTTAGAGACAGGGTGAGAAGTTCAGTTATCAGTAGAACTGCTGCTCCTCCACATTGAGAGGAGCCAGTTGAGGTGGTTTGGTCGTCTGTTAAGGATGCTCCCTGGGCACCGCACTAGGGAGGTGCTTCGGGCATGTTCATGACCCCGGACACTGGAGAGACTTTGTCTCTCGGTTGATCTGGGAACAACTTGGAGTCCTCCCAGAAGAGCTGGAAGAGGTGTCTGTGGAAAGAGATGTCTGGACCTCCATGCTCAAGATGCTGCCCCCATGACCCACCTTCAGAACAAGAGGAAGATAATGGATGGATGGATGGATGGATGGATGGAAACTTGAAAAAACAAATTGTTCGACTTTTTCTAAAATATTCTGTGCATAATGTTCATAAAACACTTTGGCTTTTACGCGTTTGTCAGTGTCACATTAGCAGCTTTTAATTCTTCTGAACCAGTTCTGGCTCCTCTGTCAGATTTCTCAGCAGGCCCAGTTTACTAAAACAACAATTTGGAAAAAAAGGGATAAAAAGAGGAGCCCCTTCTTTTATCTGATCAGTTTCTGCACCGACACAGTGTCTGATATAAAGATAGAGCATGTTTTTTGCAGAACGTGCAGCTCTACACCAGAAAAGAACAGACACTGAGAGACATTCCAACACACACCACGAGAACCTGACCGTCTGAAGAGGTAACCATGGCAACAACTCAAGGCTTATAAAGGGGCTGTGTGCAGGTATAAATAATGTAAAGCAAGATCGATAATAAAATGTTAAACACACGTTTATACAGATTTAATAATAAATAAAACTTTATAACCAGTTTTTATTTCTTCTTTCAGCTGCTCCCTGCTTCAGGTGTCACCACAGCAAACTAACTCACACCAAGACTTGGTGATTATTTTTACACCGGATGTTCTTCCTGACTCAACCACAGACACTGAGCTACCACAGCCTCTGTGTGGAGCAGAGATCTGCTGTCTAGGGGGCCCAGGGGAGCAGATGGTGGGGGTTAAGGGCCTTGCTCATGGGCCCAGAGTGGGGCAAATGAGGGTGGAGGCAGGTGTGAGTGTTTCACCTTTCCCACCCAAATTTTGGTGTTGTCAGTCCGCGTATTTTGTAGCTGGAAATACAGGAAGTAGTTTGAGTTTCTGCCAGCGAAGGATGACAATATGAAGGTTCGTTGTTCCCTCTGTGCTGGAGAGAAAGTGATGTCTGGTTTCAAAAACACCACATCAAATCTGAAGAAACATTTGGAGTTGCAGCACGGACAGTAACTGATGGAGCAAGCCCTGCCAGGTGGTTTGGAGCAGAGAGCCGGGACAGGAGGTCCCCCTCCACCAAACAACAAAAAACTTGACTTCGATGCAAAACCAGTAAATAGGGGAGATATAAAAAGATGGTTGCACGGTTTGTAGTAGAAGAAATGCTGCTCTTCAACACGGTTGACCCGCCTTCAGTTTTGTGCCGTAATAAACTGAATCCCCACCCCTGTAAATGCTGAGCTGCCTCACAGAGGAGCTTTTCCTGCGTATCTGCAGAAGGAGTCTGCAGAGATGGAGAGAAATCTGAAGGCTGCACTGAGCTGAATACTCTACGCAACAAGCTGGGAGTTAAGTGCTTCATAGACCGAGAGTACCCGTTCCTGCATGAGTCCTGCACCATCGTGAAGCCCCTGACTGCAGCTCTGGACATTTTACAAGGTGACTGTCCTTATGGGACTTTACTGCCCACACTTGAAGTTCTGATGCAGAAGACCCTGGCTGTGAAACATTTGCTCTCCAGGATGACTGCAGGTCTTCCAGATGCTATAATGAAGGTTTGTTCCATCTGTAAACTAGTTAAAATTTCTTACATCACAGTATTTTTGTACATTGTACTGTATATTCATTATCATTGCAAAAAAAAGATTAAAACAAATACAAATGTCAATAAGAATCCTAAAACAACATTAAATCCATAACATTGTTCCCACATTAGACATGGTTTGCAAGTAATTACATAATAAATAACAAAAAAGGTTGAATCATGTCATCTGGACTTCGTTTTTTTGTTAAAAAGAAACGTTTCGCCCCTCATCCAAGAGGCTTCGTCAGTCTGAGGCCTAGCCATCTGGTATTACCCAGAAGCCACCCTGACTCTTGTGTTTCAAGCCTGCCTCAGATACCCCTGAAGTCTGGCCTTTTCACTAATGGTTTCAAAAACACAAAGTTTGTTTTCTCAGTCATCCAGGTATATAACAACAAAAAAGGTTGAATCATGTCATCTGGACTTCGTTTTTTT